CCACATGGCGCAGCAGACCTCTCCTGACCCGCCCGTAGATCTGCCTGCTCTGCTCCCCACTCTGTCTCTGGTGAATCCTTTCACCTTCCACATCTCTGGCCTGTACCCCAGTTCTGTACGAATGAATAAATAAAATTTTTAAAAAAGAAAAAAAAATTAACAATACCCTGGAGTCCCAGGATAGAGAAAGCATGTCCTGGGAGAAAGAAGAATGGTAAACGTAAAAGAAGTGATGGGTAAGGGAGAAAGAGACAACTAGAAAAGATAGACAGGAAAATTCAGACCTTTAAATAAAAAAGATTAGTAAAGGCCAGAATATAAAAGGAAGAAGACTGGTGCGGCAATTTCAGGGGTGAAGGAAGAGGGCACAGACTGGTTTCCTGGAGTTGCCGTCACCAATCATCTCTGTCCCTCGGGGGGAATTAGCTGATTAATCACTGATCACTGCATGCACACCGCTCTAAACTCTAATCCTTAAACTTTTAAAGGCTACTCTAGGGTGTTTGGGAATGATAACAAGAATTACCCACCAAGGGAGAAATACTTCTTTAGATTGCAGCACAGAGACCAGAGCATTATCTACAGAGACGTAGCTAAAATCCATAGGGGGTGCAGGGAGAACCTTAGAGAATGACTTGTATGGAGGGAGCATGTTACTGAAAATGAAATTATGTAAAGTAAACAAAGTTGAATTAATCATGGCCAAGGTGTTATCTCATGCTCTGATTTTGGAATTGCTGCCCTTAGTATATAAGCCCTGGGGACATTCACTCCAAGGTCAATAAATGCTACTTATTTTAAGATGTACTTAGGGATAAATTCAACCTTATGATTCTAAAACAGTAGACGAATCCTAATTTGGGCAGTGTTTCTCCAAAGTCTATGGATTATATTTTGCCATTTCTTAGAGGTAACTTTTAAATACATGAGACATATTCCTGGAATAAGAGACCATGGAACTGCAGACACAACAATATGTATGTTTGTGTTCTTTTGACATAATTACAACAAATGATTAGCATTTGTTGCTCAGTAAAGGACTCCCAGAGAACTGTCAAGAGTATAAAAGGAGAGCATGCTGGCCTTGCATGCACACCGTGAATCCCCACCAGGCCCCATAGCACTCGCCTCTCCAGTACAGCAAGTCCTTCCTCTCAGGTCCTTCTCATTCTGCATTTGGCCACCAGTGGAAGTGGAAGGGGGACAGGAAAAAATGCTACAAACTCTTCTTCTAGCAGAAGGCAATAAGGAAACAGAAAACAGAAGAGGGCAGAGAGCATATGATAGGAAAGAGAAGAGGAGGAAACTCAAACTTTCACAGGTAGGGGAAAGGAGCCACCTGGAGGGTGTTGAAAACCAGGACCCCCTGGAGGAGACACGTTCTCCGGCTGCTCAGGGGGCTTCCTTTAGACTCTACAGCAACATGAGGGGCAGGGCAGGGCTGGGGGAAGTAATTCAGTACATCTCAACAAATGTTATTGAGAAATTGATTTCAACTACTGCTATTATGGTGCTAGCAGAAGCCACCTAGAGGGGCCCTCTAAAAAACTTAGGACCCAGTAAGATAGCAACGACCCTCGATGGTAGCAGCCCTGTTCTGATGATGGTCAATCTCTAAACCAGTTATGAGTTAAGGAAAGTATACTTGCCCAGGAAGCCCATCTGTACTAGAAACAATATGTATGATACTAGGGAAAGAATACAGATATAGTCTCAAGAAATATATATATATATATATATATATATATATATATATATATTTAATTCAAGATCAACAAAACAGAAATATTCTGTCTGTATATGGCGGTGTCTACCAATCCAGATTCTGTCAGAAGACCAAACTGAGGGCTGTGGACAGGAATAAACACAGTATTTCTACCACTGTGGTGATTAAAGCAGTTGGTATTACTAGTTGTTTCTAGCCTAGTATGGAAAACCAGACAATCCCGGTTCCTCCACTTGATAGCTGTTTGACCTTGAATAACTTGCAACACTTCTTCAGTTTCCCCATTTGTACAAAAAAGATGACATTAAGACTTACTTCATAAGTCACTGTGAGAACTGACTTCTTACAGGTTCAGGTACATAGAACAGAGTTCCCACCACATACTGAGTGCTCAGTAATGTTTGATGTCATTTCCCCTTAATCATCATTCATACACTCAGAGAGGTGTGAGTCAATGAGAGGGGTCACAACCAAACAAAATAAAGATCTAAGTGTTTGGCTGACAGCATAGACATTGACTAGTTTAGGGTTTATCACAGAATTCTAAGAAATGGCCTGTAAGCCTTGAGTGAAAGTTTCTAACTCCCCCATCCAGTAATTTACTGTCCATGTTTTTACTTCTGATAAAGTATACATATATCTCATTTTTAGACATGGGATCTTAGTTTGCCTCCTACTTTCAGAAAAAAATAAAAAAGGTAGATCATGAATTATCCAGAGATGAGTACATATATATGTATACATACCTCTACAAAGCTAAAAAAAAAACTAATTACTGCTTTAAAATATACTAGAACAAAAATATAAGATAGGAATTTTAAGAATCTCACATAAAAAATTAATTTCTCAGAGAGCCTTCCTGGCAATGCAAGGGGTTAGGTCTCAGCACTATCAAAATACTGCCAGCTACTGCAGCATGAGTTCAATCCCGGGCTAGGGAACTAACCCACATGGCACAGCAGCCCTCTCCTGTCTTGCCCTCTTTTCCTCTCAGCAATGTATTCCTCTCAGTAATGATCTGTGCCCCACTTTGTCTCCGTTGAATCCTCTCACACCCTGTACCTCTGGCCTACACCTCAGTTCCAGTATGTATGTATGTATGTATAAATAAAACAAATCTTTAAAAAAAATCAATTTCTCTGAATTTTAGCATAGCTTTTAGAAATCTAAAAATGAATAGGTGACATTTTAATAACCTAGCTTCAGTTTAAAGCATCCATGTACTTGTGCACACGTGTGCACACACAATACAGACACACACACCCCACCACCACCATTCTTGGGCAGTTGCCATAACAACATAATGCAGAACCTACGGAAGCTTTTTGTTATCCTGCTTTAAGACACTGTGCCAAAGCACACACACGCTAGATTCTTTACTAATTAAGAGTAAGAGGTTAAAAAAAATTCTAGATCCACAAGGCTTTCATTTGTGCTGGGACTTAGGAAAGCAAATATTAAATATTTTAAGAAAAACGATTCAAAAATAATAACTGCAAGACCAATTAGAGGTCAAAAGTAGACATAATATTGAAGACAACATGGGAAAACACTTTCATTTTGCATACTGTATTCATTTCATCATCTGCTCCTCCTAGTTGTGCCAAACTATTTTAATAGAACAATCAATTTTACAAAATATAATTTGGTAACAGTCTCTTTTTAATTAACACTTTCCCTCTGGCTATATCTATTTTAGTTCATTTGGGAGACCACACTTCCATACACTAATTAGGCATAAGAAAGAGAACTGCCTCAAAATTAATAGGAATTTATATGTTTTTTAAAAAGGGGAAAAAATGTAATGGGGGAGAGAGAGAAGGGATGATTAGCCCCTTTGGAGACTGATAAAATCTGTTTTCCTTCCAGCCTCTTGATTAGCCATCCATCTCTCTTGCAGGTTTTTCTGTCTTCTCAAGCCTCAGCTGTAGACCTGTTAAGACTCTACTATCTTTTCCTAGGCAGATTCCTCCTAAGACAGTGGCTTTAAATATTTCCCAATATGCATGTACAGCCCCCCTAAAACTATCTTCTGAGTTTCAGATCACTTCATCCAACTGCCTGTCAACATCTGTACTTGGATGCTAATTTAGAGGCAAAGTGGGTCCTCCTTACCTGTACTTAGTGCTCCCTGCCTCAGTAATAGCCACTCTGAGTGGTCCTAAAATCAGTGTCCACAGCCATCTACTAAATGAATTGATAAATTCATCAAACCTCTTACACAAATCAGAAAAACCTAAGGGTCACCCTCAATAAGATCTTCTGTGCCCACCATGATAAATCAGTGTCCAAGTCTTGTCCATTTCTTCTCCTAAAGATTCCTCTAATCCATCCCATGTCCACAGTCCTCCCAGCTGCTACTGTCTAACGCGCTGTAATATCAGTTCCTTAACTGTCAGTCAGGAGTATGCATGCATGGTACAAAGAGAAATTAGACAATCAGAGATTGTAAAATAATTTGTTGAACAGACTAGTAATGCTGACCAATCACTGATCTCTGCTTTGCCTCTCCTACTTCGTGTAATCTCCGCAGTGAACCATTTTCTAGAAAAGACCTAACATATGGCATGAGGGAGACTCTCATGGTCATAAGCTTTGCTTTGCTTGGTCCCAACAAGCAGAGAATGATAAATATGAAGATGATGAAGATGGTGGTGATTATCACAGCTTATTCCAGACAGTATTCTAAGTATTCTGCATGCATTTTTTCATTTAATTCTCTGAATTAGATGCTATTATCATCCCACTTTGCAGATGAAGAAACTGAGTCACCCAGGTCTTAAGTTACTTGTTCAAGTGAAGAGCCAAGCCACAGAAGAGCTATGACTCAAGATGTGAACCCTGCTGTTATGTAAGGATATATGAAAAGCTGTTTGGCTTATAGCAACTCATAAGAACTGCTGGGGATATATAGTTAGAAGAGACAAATTCTTTCCCCCTCTACCATGTTTTTGCTTTGAATTTGAGCGGCCTGTCTCCAGGGTCAGAGCTTTTTGGTCATCCCTCCCTGTGCAAAAATACCGAACAGAGTTTATAGAAGGAAAACCCCACCAATTTCAACCCCACTTTGTTCCAAGGACAGGTCAATGTTGTCATCTCTTCCCCATCCTTACAGCTACCCAGTTTTCCTTGTGTAAGGCAGTTAAGAGATGATGTCTTAGTGCTTATACTAATTTGGCAATAAGATTGAATATTGTCCTACGAAACCTTTTTTAAAAGTATCATGAATGGGATGAAGACAAAAACTTCTTTAAAGTCCTAATCTAGTACTTACAGTTTTATAACTCCATCTGAGCACCTGGAACAGAACTGCTGGTTGCTCTTGTCTTGTCTATGTTGACTCTGCCCCAGCTGAACAAATCTACAATAACATTGAATACAAAGTAAGTAAAAGAAGGTACTGCAATAAATTCAGCAGATCACAAAATGGTATGAGCATTCAAAGGTGAATATACCTATTTCAGAAAAGCACACAAACCAATTTTAACACAAGACTTTACTTAAAAATGGTTGCAGTGGCTTAGTGAGATGTAAAAGAAGAGGGATTCTGTTTAAAATATAAGTCATTACCAATAATGTCAGACTGAAATGAAATGTGGACCCCCATTCCATTTCTATTTACTTGACCATGATATAGAACTTGAACCAAAAATGCCCCTGAAGCCAAAGGAATGATTGTCAGGGCCTGGCATACCTAAGGGTGACTGCAGCAGCAGGTAAGGAGACAAGGAGAAACAGGAAGGGAGCTGCTTCCTGAGCAACAAATGCAAAAAGGGGGTCAGGCTGAGACCCAGGCCCTGAAGCAGGGAAGCTGTGGAGAACCCAGGACATGGACTCAGTTTCCCCGGAGCTACAAGAATCCCCTGTTGGGGTCCTGCTGCTTCTAAGAGGAGTGCTCAAGTAGATGGGGGGGGGGGCCTGAAGGGACCACCTACAGAGCACTCCTGGACACCACCCCTCCCAATTTCAGGCCTAACTAGCTCAATACTAGTTCAGGCTTTAGCTAAGAGCCAAAGAGAATGCTCAACCAGCTCAGCAGGGTAAAAGGACACGGAGCCCTGGGCCTCTGCTGTCTCTCTAATGCCTAGGCTGAAGCGTGCCCAGGACCATGGGCATCCATCTTTCCTTCAGGGACATCATTTGTAGTTTTGTTCTATTGTGCCCCTAGGACATTGTGGGGCAAGACCAAAGGGCTGATGCACTTTCCACTTTTCTACTATTTAAAAGATTTTCTTTTGGCAACTATGGATATTTTTATAATCTATTTTTATTGGTTTTTAAAGGTTAAAAAAGTGCTGCAGAAACTACCAATCATTAAATCATGAAAGTGCTCTAGAACAATGTTTAAGTAGCTTATTTTATCCAACTTTTAATTTCAGCAAGGGAACATTTTGATCCATGTTTTAGGGAAGAATGTCACATAATATCTAATATCTGTACAGAAATTTTAAATTTCCAAACAGAAATTTAAACGGTCAAAAATTAAAAAGAAAATTTAGTTAGGCCTCCCTGATGGCACAAGGGATAAGTCTCAGCACGATGAAGCTATCAGCAGGCACTGTTCCAGATCTAATAAAAATAGCAAACCAAAGAAAAGATGCCAGGAACAATGAGGGCAGTGGAAAACACAATGAATAAGACTGGGCAATTCGAACAAAACCACAAAACTTCAGGGGTTTAAAGTGGTTGGTTCCTAACGTAGGAAGACAAAGCAGAGGACAGGCAGCCAGAAGACAAGAAGGCAGCTGTAGCAGCACGGCTTCCCTCCCTCAAGGTTCTGCGCCAGCCCAGGTGGGGGCCACAAGCTGCATGTCAGGCCCAGACACTGTCTACACACAAAAACTCTAGCATGTGACGAAAGGCCACCCTACAGTGGGAGGGGGCACCTATAGTCAGGATGAATCTACATGGGCTTTTCCCCTGCCCTGAAGCTCTGCCTTCTAGATCAGAGGAGGAGAAGACACTTATAGAGAGCCCAAGTGCATAGCTGGGGTAGGAGAGGATACCCGTCAGCCTCCGACATACCTTGGCCATCGCCTGGCACAGCTACCTCCCAGATACCGGTCAAGGGAGGTTTCCATCCCACAGCAATGCCCATGACTGAGAGAGGGGGTCCCAGGAGAAGGGGTGAGGGAAGCCCAGAATGGCCAAGCAGAGAGAGGGGAAGAGACGACCAGGCCCTGGGTTTCTCCCCAGGTTTGCATCATAAGAAGCAGCAGCTGGAGAATAAGAAGTGCAGTCTACCACCACAAGATGCTGGTGAAACACAACGTGAGTCTCTGATAAGCCACTGAACAGCCTGGTGTTCCATCTCTAAACCTATGAAGAGGGCTATCTTTTCAATATACCATATAGTTGTTTACAGGAAAAATAAAACACTTGACTGTTATACAAATTGATTTCCAAGGAGGAAACATTGTTCTCAGAATATCAAACACAGAATCTTATTTCAGAACACAGAGTTCATCCTCCCCTGCAGTATTCCCTTCCCTCCAGGCCTGTCCTCACAACCTTCCTAGACTGCCTCCCAGAGACACTGTTGCTAAACAAGCTGCATCTCACTCCACAAGAAGAGAACTGAATGTGGGCCTCAGAGACCTTCTGACCTAATAAGGATGCAGGTGACTGAATGACCTCAAGCAAGGGATGCTTTGTTTTTGCTTAATTGAGTCAAAATTTCAGTACTTGATATGCACACACACACTCCCTGCAATAAGTAAAGTCATATTATCCAGGCACTAATGTCGAATAATTCCTTTCAGACCACACTGCTTTACCAAAGAACTTAACTACAGAGAAAGATAGCTGTGCTGAATAAGTAACTATGTGACTGTGTGCCCAGGAAAGAGGAGTGTGGATGAATCCTTTGAGACTACATTGCCTTCTGGAAGACATGAAGTATGACTGTAGCAGTGCTTCTGTGGTCAAGAAATGCTGCGCATCTTTATATTTTATGTTTTATATTGGAGATTTTACTACTGTGAAGTAAAAAGACAATATTCACTTCAGTGAATTCTGCAAACAAAATGCCCTCCTTAAAAACAAATTGAGGTTGGGCCCTCCCTGGTGGCGCAGAGGGTTAAAGCACAGCACTGAGAAGCTAAAGCCACTTCAGCATGAATTCGTTCCCTGCTCCAGAGGTGACCCACAAGGTGCAGCAAACCTCTGCTGACCCGCCCACTGCTCCCCTCAGCAGTGTACTTCATCAGTTGGTCTGTTCTGCTCCCCACTCTGTCTCTGGTGAATCCCTGCACCTCTGGCCTGTCCCCCAGCTCTGTATGCATAAATAAATGAATCTTTTTTAAAAAAATTGAGGTTAAGGTTCATTTTTATTACAGAGTTTACATAAGCCAAATTTATTCAATGAAGTGAGTGTGTTCACTTGCAATATTCAATTCTTCTGGATCCGTGTATTCGGTTGAGGGCGTGTTTACAGTGGTATTCTCAGGTTCTTGAGGATTTCTAAGTGAGGGATTCTTTGGGCAAACTAATAATTATGAATCTTCTCAGAAAAGAGTCCCAATATTCACAATATATACACACCAATATTGACAAAATTATGTATACGATTTTAGGTAATTCCTGCTGGTAGGTCTCTTCTCAGACAGGTACAGAGCATTCTATCTACATTGGTCCCTTTACATCACTGCTTCCTCTTGCTTCTGAACTAATGTGAATGTAAGGTCCCCAACTGTCAAGATTTCAGGTTCATTTTGTAAGAATATACCTAATGCTGAGAATCTGTTAATATAGAAATGTATTACTTCAGATTGTAGCTTATATATGGGCAGTGAAATTACATGTAGACAGCATAAATTTTTATCACTGAGTTGTGAACAATAGACCTTTTATTTCCAAAGATAAATTAATGTTTCCACATTTGACCTCTTAAACACTACTACTGTATTCCAAGTAGAATTCATTTCCTCCTGTATTACTACCTTTGCTTTAAAAAATTTATGTTATTATAAGGTATAATTTCATTTTTTTAAGGTATTTTACCTTGAATAAATGGAGAGATCATCTTCTGAGAGGCCATCTGAGAGGTTAATTCCATATACTTCTTTCATGGGCTGGACCATGATCTGGGAGTAAAAAGAAAAAAAAAAAAAAGAACAACTAGGAAGAATATTTAGACATTTAGCAAATTAGTAATTTCCAGTGATGATGAAAAAAAAAAAAAAAAAAAGAACAACTAGGAAGAATATTTAGACATTTAGCAAATTAGTAATTTCCAGTGATGATGGAAGTGAATCTGAGCATTTTCCACAAAGGCAATAAATATTTCTTCAACTTGTTGATTATGTTTCTCAGTTAATGCTTTTTAAAATATCTAAAATAGTCATTTTAAGGTTAAAAAAATTACTTTTGTATAATACAGAGGAGGGCAACTTTTTCTTAAAAGCACAGAGAGCAAATATGTTAGACTCTTTGGGTCTCACACTCTGCTGCAGCTGTTCAATTCTGCTGTTACAGTGCAAAGGCAGTAAACAAATAGGCCTGTCTGGGTTCTGATAAAAGTTTATTTACAAAAACAGAGTGGGCTGCAATGGGCCAGTCAGCTGTCATTGTGAACTCCTGAAATAATACTTCAGTTCATATATTAGATTAGTTTCTTGTTGATTTCCCTTTAGCTTTCCCCTAAGTGTGTCAAATTATACAGCAGGAATTTCCCACTGTGATTATGCAAAGACTGTGAGGCCCAGTTCCAAATGCTGCATTCCAACAATGTGTCAGCCCAGGGAATAACTGCCCTCCCTGTATGGGCTTTTCGAAGGCCACAGGATTCCCTTTAAAAATTCTCAATAGGAAATTCACTATTACAAATGAGAACAAAAACGCCTATTTATAAAACTCAAACTCAAACCATTTCTAAGAACGTCTTTGCTAGTATCCATCTTGGTAGTGCTTCAGTCACCAAGCATCAGCTAATGTGTGAGTGAGGAGACTGACCAAAGCTGAATGTTGGTGGTCATTTCTCAGAGCCTCACGCTGGACCCTGCAAGTTCCACTCCCCCACCTCTGTCACTTTGGCACTGTCTCCTGTGTCGGTCATCTTCACTGGTGTGGAGCGCTGAGACACGGAGCCCTCCTCTTCTCGGTCGGTCCCTGAGTCGTCCTCGGAGCTGCTGGACACAGCCTCCTCACTGGGAGGTGGCGGGGCACTCGCTGCCGTCTTCCGCTGTAATACAGCTTCTTCCCTGTTGCTTTTGTTTCTTTGAAAAGGTGAATGAGGATGTTAAACGTCACTGTCTCACAGCCTTAGAGTGGAGCATAGGAAAAATACCACGAGAAGCCAGTTTGGGGATTCACATTGTGCTAAATATAAAATCATTTTACCAACTTGATCTTATATGAATTTAAGCCCTGTTATAAATTCAGAAGAAAAAGAAAAAACACTGCATGCATATAGAATGCAGAAAAGTCTTCATACCACTTGATTATTATGTCTTCTTTTTATAACTGAAATTAATTTCCAAAATGTATGATATAATAAAAGAAAGCTAAGTATGAGATATCAGTAAAATTATATATATTTTGTAGAAGATACACAAAATTGTCAATAGTCAGACTTGTATCTATTTCCTTCTCTCCTATGAGTTTTTATCAATCACAGTAACCCCTTATTTTTTGTGCCAAAGCAATGAGCAACTGATGAACATGGAAATAAGTTTCAAAATTTATTGTGTTTTTAGTAAATAAATATATTTCTTGACACAAATATTCCTTCTGATAGGATGAAACAGATGGAAGAGGGGAGCAGTACTTTTATTATAGTACCAAATCTAAGAGGAATAAGAACCTTTACTCAGAAAAGATATTATTTATAGTAATATTTTTTATTTTTGTGAAAATATTAAATATTTTACTCTTACTTTAAAAAACTATAAGGAAGGGACTGAAAATATCATAAGATTCTGAAATGTAGTAGGGAAAAAATGCAATACTATTGATCTATGATCTTAGAGAAATCAGTTTGACTTTGAGCAACTAAAAATTAAACTCTATAGTATTTCTGTGCTATATACTAATAAAGCTGATCACGAGCATATACTTGTCACCAGAACTTCTAGGATTCCCAACTCCTGAGGACATCTCTTCTAAATTCCTCTTAGCAGCTAATCCAGGACTATCTATCATGCAGCTGTGTGAGGTCATGTACTTAAGCCATAGAAATGCAGTATCTAGCAAACAGTTATATGCATCCCATTGTATAAACTACAAGTAGCTAGACTGCAATTGGGACCCTATAGTTACTCCCAGGTACAATTAGAACTGAGTATCTATACTCTGGCCATCATTTCCAATGAGACTCTGAAGAAATCCTATTGCAGAGTTTATTTGGTTCAGTGGCAGTAACATTGTTATACTAGGACGTAATACACTTCACTCCAGTCTGTAAGCATGACATGTAAAAACGGTTGACTTTTTCTTCATTACAAAGTGTAATAAACTAACAGTCTTCCCCAAAACAATGTTACAGTAATATACAGAAAATCTATTAATATATCTATTTGAACACATGTACTTTAATGTATTCTCAGATGTCAACAAAATACAATGAACATAAATTTTTAACCTGAGTAGTTTATATTGTAGGAAAGAGTATGATGAGTTATTTATTACAGGATATAAAACATGATATCTGTTACCTGCCTTTATGCCATCTGTGATGTTCCTAACTTTTAATAAAATGCACCATGCTGCTGATGAAATTTCCATAAATTCTACTCTTAAGTTGAATACTTTGATGATCCTACTGCTGTAACAAACTATCTGTACAGGTGCAACAAATGAACTGTACCCCAGATGATGTGACTTGTAGTTGTTGGTTTTTGATGGAAATTACATTGCAAGTGCTATATTATTTTACATGAATCTTTAAAATTTCATTCTCTATGTAAATCTTACCCCAATACTGATTTTCCGGTTTCATCTGGTTTACGCACAGTGAATGGACTTGGGTCAATGCCAACTGTCTTGGGCATGAAGTCGCTGAAGAAAATGGGGAAAATTCCATGTGAATCACTCTCCATCCAGGTAAAATTGGCTCCCATCTGTATTTATGTTTTTATACTACATACTACATATAGTCTGAGGTAAAAGTTTGTAAGGAGCTTAGGTGATCAGGGCCATAAAAAATCATGAACTGTTAGCATCACATAACTTCACTGTTAACAGCTTTTCACTGAATTTTCTCTGTGATTATCAGGCCCAATCATTTTGCATGTAAGATTTTATTACTGGAACACAGTTGATTTTGAATTACTGCTTAGCTACATATGGTTACATGCCAAAACTAGTTATCAGGTAAAATTAAACTCATAAAAACCAATGCCAAAACACTAAGTCCCTCAGCTTTATGGACAATGTATTTATGGACAATGTATAAATACACCAGTAAGGAGGCTGATGAAATTTTCATAGACACAGTGGCACAAATCAAAGTATCAATTCTAATGCATTAGATTGAGGTTAATACACTAAAAAAAATGTTGGAATGTTTAAATAGACACTTTTAATTTACTATTTGTTGAGATAAGCTGAAGCTACTTTATATTTACTATGACTGCTGAAGTCAGACCAAATTACTTAATAGATGTGAAAAAGACAGCAGTTCATTATTTATCCTGATAAGGTATATAACATCTGCAGGGATACTGTTATAAATGAGACTCAACATGTTTATTCAAGGAAAAGAAAGTAATACTAACACAAACTCAAAATGCCAATGTAACAGTTTCAGAATGTTTTTAAAAATGTAAGTAGTTTTATTTTTAGTTCTTTTGAACACAGAGTCAGCCCTCATTATTAGCAGGCTCTGTATCTGTGGAATTTCTTTACTCACTAAAATGTATTTGCAACCCCAAAACCAATATTCAGAACTTTCTCACTCATTCCCAAACATATGCAAGGTAGTAAAAAACTAGAGTAACTTGATGCACGTGTTCCCAGTGGAGGTAGAGCAAGATGACCCTCTGCCCTCTGCTTTAACCTTCATACTGCAAGCAAGTTTCCATTTTTCACATTTTTTATGATTCTTTTTGGTAATCTCCAACAACGTTTAAAACACCCAACAACGTTTAAAATGTCCTTCAAGCATAGTGCTGAAGCTGTCCAGTGATTCTAAATATAAAAAAGCTGTGTGTTATAGAGACGCTTCATTCAAGCATGATTTAGCATGCTGTGGGTTGTGAGTTCAATGTCAATGAATCAAAAATATGTATTATATAAGTGTTTTCTGAACAGAAATATACAAGGTTATCTATTGACTGGTTCGCAAAAATACTGTGACCAGAGGGTTGCTGGAGCAGTAGTTCAGCCTTTTCTAATTCAATGTTGGTGGGCAGGCCAGTTTATAGAATAAAATTTCTGCAAATAAAGAAAATCCACTGTATCTGTAGATACACACACACACACACACACACAAAATGGCATTTATTCTTTGTTGAGCTAAAAAGAAAAAGAGGTAAATGCTTTAAGAGCAATATCTAGAAATACAAATCAGTGGTAGTTCATAGTTGTCTGTAGAACAATTACAAGTGAAGACATAACTACATAAACTACAAAAACTATACGTCCTAAATACTTAGCAGAATTAGAGTACTCATAACATACCGTGCTGAACTTGTCATAGCCAAGCAAAAGGTATCATCAAAACTACTCAATTCATATGGTCGAAAGAATTCGTTGTGGATGTCAATCTCTTCTTCATATTTGTGAAATTTCTTCACCATCAACTTCTTTAAGTTTGTAGCACAAATAACTAAGAAAGATACTGCTGGTTACTCTAAAATTCTTTATATATAGCAAACATTTACAGAGCGTGTGCTGAACAAATTCACCTCCACCACCTGGACTTACACACTCAGAAGAGATGAAATATGTGCACAGATATACAACACAAAGCTAAGTATGATAAGTTCTAAGGAGGCAGGAGGCCTCTGGAAGTTGGGGTGGGAACTGGAAGTTATTTTAGAAATCAAATTACTTAGCTCTTTAAATTACTTTCTTTGCTCTTAAGCCAAAATTCTCTTTATTCTTGATAAAGAATTGTATTTCAAATCCTGTTAATGGCCAATGTCAGATTCTTTCTTTTCTTCCAGAATAACCAAACCTTCTTAGCAATATGAGCCATGATCTGCCCAGATTTTCACAGTCACAAATACTAAGTTCATTTCTAACATGAATTAATAATTTATTAAGAACTAAAAGTCATTTGCAATCCTCTCATTTCCTGGTCATCAATCACCCAAAGCAGAATGACTGACCATAACCAGCTGGCATTTCAACTGGAGCGTTCCAGACTGGCAATAGATCTTAGTTAGTACCTTTTTACAAATGGGAAAATTATCTTGCCCAAGGTGGGGAATCAGTAATAGAACCAGGACTAGACTTTATAAATTTGAGCAATATTTTAAATTTGGAAATATTCTAATATATGTACATTTGAGGGTATTTTATGTAAATATTTTCCTCATTTTCTAACTAATAAAATTTAAGTATTAGTCATTAAAATTTGCTTTTATACACACATCTATGCCTTTTTTCATTGCTTACATATAGGAAAAGTTTTTATTTATTCTTGAGGATGGATCTTCACTTACTCTATATTCTCCCAAAATATCTAGAAATACAAATCAGTGGTAGTTCATAATGATGAACTAATATATTCACAAACTGTCTAAGGGAATTACCTAATAAT